AAAGTTGGGTATGGAGCAAAGAGTGGGTCTTGTAGGACATAGGTGAATGAGTGAATATGCTTGGAATAAAATGTATGAAATTCTCCAAGAATTCATTAAAATATGTATTTAAAGTGACCTGTATAATTTCCTACACATACATTCTCACTACAATATCTAGTAATGGGCCTGTTTTACAAAGACTGTAATGGACTGATTTGTTTCCAAATGCTGACATTTTAATCCACTCTGAGACTGTATTTGATGGTAACTATTTAAAGGATATCAGTAAAATTAAATGAAATTATAAATCAAGGCTTTAATCATAAAAGACCAGTCCTCCTGAGAAGACGAGAGTCCTCAGAAATCTGTGTACACAGCATAAGACTCTGTGGAAATGTGTCCTTCTACCAGCTACTAAGAGAAGCCTCACCAGAGTCCAAATTTGCTGGTCTCTTGATTTTCATGCACATCCTCTTGAACTGTGAGGAAGTAAAGCTTGATTTTCAAGATTATATGAATGGAATCATGTCACAGAAATTTAAACAAACTAACACAGAGAAGAAAACTTAGGACAAGGGGTAATACTGAAGAAATAAAATAATAAATATTAAGAGAAAATACACAAAATTTAGCTCTGTATAAGTCACCAAAAATGTGATCTTATTACCTAAATTAGATTACATCTAAAGTTCTAAATAAAATTAACTATACCATCAAACATATGAATTTTTTTTTTGGTTTTTCAAGACAGGGTTTCTCTGTGTAGCTTTGCACCTCTCCTGGAACTCACTTGGTAGCCCAGGCTGGCCTCGAACTCACAGAGATCCGCCTGGCTCTGCCTCCCGAGTGCTGGGATTAAAGGCGTGTGCCACCACCGCCTGGCTTCAAACATATGAAATTTTAATTGGTTAAAATATCCTTTAATAATGCTTATTAATAAAAAATATCTGCATAATACCCAATGGAAATGTTGGTTCATTCAAGAGGATGATAAAGTTGACAGAGTCATTGTCTAATTTGAAAAAAGAACATGACATAATCCAAAAACAATTAGGAAGATAAATGTTAGACATATGAGCAAGTATTTGTCACAATCAATAGTCAAAGGTAGGAGAGATGTCTCAGTAGTTAATATCATGTACCGCTCATGTTTTCAGCACAGACATAAGCAGCTCACAATTGCCTGTAATTCCAGCTGCAGTGTACCTGTTGTCTCTGACTTCTTAGGATACATGCACACAGGTATACATGTTGACACTGTCAGAGTAAAAGATTGGTTTTTCCAATCCTAAGGAAAGTATTATTAGAAATAATCTCTGAAGCAGCTACATGAAAATTGTGAAGAGAATAAAATATCGAAGGAAAATGTAAATAACAATAAAAATAAGTTATTTTAGCAACATATAAAAAGATAATGCTAAATGCATATATGTATTATTTTGGATGAAATATTTTCAACTACTTTTAGTTTTAATTTCTTATTAATTATTTGAGAGTTTTGAATTTCATACAAGGTGTTCTGATCACTTTCATACCCCATAATCTAATTCTTCCCACATTCAACCCCTTTACCTACCCACCCATCTTTGTGTCCTTTTTTTCCTCCTAAACCCATAAAGACCTATTTATGCTGCCCAAACATTCTTGTGTGTGTGGTCTTCCACTGGAGTGTGATCAAATTATCAGGGGCTATACTAGAGAAAAATCATTTCTCTAGGATTGTGTGCCTACCTGGCCTCTCTCTGATGGGATTTGATCTGGCTTGAGCTTGCACAGGTTTTGAATGTGCTTTGAGTCCATATGAGTAGTTGCCTTGCTAGATTTGGATGTTTACTTAGAGCTGTCCAGTGTCTCTTGCACTTATGTTCCTTCTACTCTCTTCCAGATTGGTGGCCACTGAGATATAGACAACTTAGAGAAATATTTCTTTTGGCTCATGGATTCAAAGAGAGGCTTGTCTATGGTTGACTGGTTCCATTGCTTTGGTCCCAACATAAGGCAGACTATCAAGGTATCAAGAATACATGGCAAGAGTGTTCTCTTTCTTCTTAGCAACCAGGAAGTAGAAAGAGGCAGAAAGGAACTGGAGACAAGATACATGAATGCATGCTCCCATCATCTCACTTTCTAATTATATATTCAATTATGAATCTATCAGAGGATTGATTCATTAATTAGGTTAGAGCCTTCATGGTACAGTCACCACCCATAAGCCTATAAACTTGAATCCAAGTCTTTCATACATAAGGACTTAGATTACCATTTAGAAAAGTAAGTTCTGATGCTTATAAAAATATTTCTGGTCTAATTCAAACAGATGGATAATCTAGATCACACAAGGTATTAACTAAGGGAACAGAGGATGTTCATGGGATAAGAGGACTTGCACAGGCTAGTGTCAATTTGTTTACTCCCTGTGTGACTCAAGTGTACTCATGATCTGTAGTAGTAGCTGGGTTTATGAGCATAAAACTGTCTCAAGTTCTCCAGCTCTCATAACTAGAAGAAGCCTTCACCTAATTTAATTCTCAGGCATAAGGTACTCTTCTTTTGATGAGGAAGTGGCCTGCACTAACCCAGGCAGGATGTGGTCATCTCTTCTCCCATGACCCATGTCAAAGCATGCAGTGTCCTTGTTCTTGAATTCAGTTCAGTATTCCAACCCTCTGGTCCTCTGTATTGCCTTGATGCCAAGAAATGGCCCAGGGCTTTGGCTTTCCTTCTCTTTTGACTTATTGAATTTACATCAGTCCTTAATCAAGTGTGTTTGATAGGCTCATAGGCACACTTTCCCTTAGATAATTCTGATATATCCATCCACTCACATCTTTCTGATTTCATTTGATAAGTTCAAAAGTGGTAACTTTTTATTAATGTAATTATTCTTCATTTTATGATACATTACTTAAAAGGAAAGTGGTTGCTTGCTTGCACAAAAGTTTCAGTCATTCTGCTTCAGGATTACCAGAAATAGAGTAAACTGATACATTGTATAGTCAAGTAACTTAGGGTAAGGCACATGCCAAAAATTCTGTTCTACCAAGAGTAATGCAGAGCAGGTCACAGCCTATTCTCATCAACTACTATTCTCAAAGGAAAATAATTGAAAATGTTTAGGAAGTGTGTCCATTTCTCAACTCCCATTAAATTAGGTCATCTGGGTTCATATTAAATGAATGATGATAACCATGTATTTATATTGCCGCATGTAAGTACTGAAAATGTGTGAGTTTGAGATTATTATTACATTATTATTACAGATGCAATGATCTAAGTAGAGAAAGATCTAAAAGCTTTGAATTACATAAACTCATCATTGTCAGCTTATGAAATGTGAATGACAACATTAAGATGAAATGAAGTACTTTCTAAATATGTATAAACCAGAAAGTAAAAGGAAATGAGTAAAGACCAAATAATCTCTGAATAACTTTGTACAACTTTGCTTTTGGGATGAAGTGTTGATATCATTCTCACCCTGTCTGGAAGGACATCTTTCTCAAGGAGCTGTTGTCTAGGTAGAATGTAAGGTGTGTTCAACCCATTGTATGGTACAGGAACTGGTACAGACATACTACTCACAGTCCCCTGGATTCACAAGTTTGTTTCTTTGCTACTTCTGTGCAATCATACATCCACACTTACTTATATCTTTCTTTGTCCATTTTGCCTTCCTTCTTTCTTACATGGAAGAAGCCAAGCCAGGGGACTTTTCAGTCTCTAAGATGGTACTGTAGCTATGCTTCTGAAATTTCCAAAATATATGTCATACTGGCCTACCTACTTCTCAAACAGTTCATGTTGACTTCATTCATTGTTCCTCCAGAGATCACAAAGTGTGTGAACTTCACACATGACAATACTCTAGATCCTTTTCTGACAACACAAGAAGTTGATGGTGCATCTTTTCTGTTTTGATTGGTAGCTATCCCTGAATTGTTTCATTACTTGTTTTCTCTTCAGCTGTTACAGAACAGTGGCATTATGCTGTTTATTCTATGTCTCAAGCAAAGAGTATGGCATCAGTTGTTAGTTGATTATAGAGCCAATAATGGTGGCATGTAAAGAGAGGTAGACAAAAATCTCAAAGTCCTTGATGCTCACAAGGAATTTGCCCTATCGGGTGAAGAACAGGCAGAGAGTGAGAAGCACTCTTACTACATGCCCGAGCCCGCTCACCATAGTGACTGCTTTAGAGGTGTCAGATAAATTTGTTCTAGTTTTCATATGCAAAAGAAAAATTTTCCTAAGTTTATTGAATCACCATATTTAGCACCCTTTTTTTCATTTGGGACTATTTTTAAACATCATGGCTATCTTGATATTAAGAATGAGATACATGAATAATAAATGTTGATTAAATATAAAGTCTGTCCTATTGAAGTGAAAATTATTTAGATAGAAATAAATGTGAGGTGTGTATGTGTGTATTTGCCAGAATAATTCATGAAGTACTTATTCTCATTACTAAATATTCAAGGACTAATCATCTATATCAAATTAATTAGATAACTCATGGTTTGTATAACATGAGCATATGTCTCTCTGGAGTCCTAATTTGAAGTGTTGAAATATCATCATTACTTAAGAAATAAGTTATTCTGGTTTGGATTCCAGTTTCCTCCTGCATGACTTAGAGTTTTTTTTAATGGTCCTTTTCCAGAACTCAAGTTATCAGATTCAAATATGAAAGGCAAATCCATGTAGATAATGCAAATAAATGTATATGAATTTTCATGCTAGCATATGAAACTTCAGCATGTCCTTTATCATCAGTTAAAAAAGACAGTGGGCTGCTATGGAACAAAGCATCTGGATGGAAACCAACCTGATTCAGAAAATGCAATTCTTTCATGTAGCCAACTGAGCCTGTTTGTTTGTTTATTATTGAATGTTAAAACTAAAATGAGAGAATATGCTGTATATTTTTAAAAATTGTAGAGACCTAGCATTTAAAATGATTGCATTAATACCCATTCTTCAGTGACTTTAGGAACCAGGACATTCTCTTCCAGACAATGGTTGCTGCTGTACAAGTGATGTCTGCAACAATACTCAATGTGGAGTTCATAACTGGGAATTTGGGGAATGGATTCATAGCACTGGGGAACATCGTGGACTGGGTCAAGAGAGGAAAGATCTCTGCAGTGGATGGGATCCTTACTGCTCTAGCCATCTCCAGGATCACTGTGCTGTGGTCACTGTACATAATGGTATCAATATTCTCAATATACCCAGACTTAGATGCGGCTATGCAAACAGTAAGACTGACTAATCATATCTGGTTAATTTCTAACCATTTTAGCATCTGGCTGGCCACCATCCTCAGCATCCTATATTTTCTCAAGATAGCCAATTTTTCTAACTCTATTTTTCTCTACTTACGGTGGAGATTTACAAAGGTGGTTTTAGTGGCATTTCTGGTGTCTTTGTTCCTCTTGTTTATAGACATTTTAGTGACAAACATCATCATAGATAGGTGGATGGATGAGTTCGAAGCAAACGTATCTTACAGCTACAAACTAAAGAATTTTGCAAACACTTCCAGGCATCTTGTATTAACAAATACTATGTTAACATTAATACCCTTCACTATGTCCATGACAATGTTTGTTCTGCTCATCTTCTCTCTGTGGAAACATCTGAAGAAGATAAAGCACATTATCAAAAGCTCCCGAGATGTCAGCACCACAGCTCACATCCAAGCCTTGAAAACTGTGGTTGCCTTCCTCCTGCTGTATGTCATTTTTACTTTCTCTCTTTTTGCACAACTTTGGGGTTATGAGTTTGAAGAAAAAAATGTTTTTGAATATTTTTGCCCTGTTGGTATAATTGCTTTTCCATCGCTCCACTCATTTGTCCTGATTATGGGAAACAGTAAGCTCAGGCAGACCTCTCTTTTGACACTGTCACTGTTAAGGTGCAAGATCCAAGGATGTGGACCCTTCAGTCCCTGACACAACAGGGGGGATAATTTTGCATAATTTCAGTGAAGATTACTTCATAAGAAATTATTCTTCGTTTTCAATGTACACATTGCAAATATACTTACATTCTGTAAGAAATAATTGCTATACAAACAAAAAACAACTTTGAGAAGAATGGAATAAGAAACATCTACATGTAAGACTATTTTAGGTGATATCATTTCAATGGTGATAAATTATTTGATATTTTAAAATGCTTAATTTATAATATAAAAAGACAGCTATTTTTTAAGGAAATAGTTGAGTATGTAATTTCTTTTTACTGTTTAAGCATGAAGACCTGAGGTCAGTTCCCTAGCACCCAACTAAAAGCTAGGCTCAGTCCAGCACTTAGGGATCAAACATAGGCAGATCATTAGGACCATTGGCTAACCAGTCTAGCTGAAACAGCAAACTCCAGTTTTAAATGAGAGACTCTGTATCAAGAATATAAGGTTTAATTCATAGAAATAGACATCCAGTGTATACTTCTAAACACACAAACATGTGCAGACAAGCATACCCACATACATATGCATGATACATACACATAAAAATAATGATAAATAATAATAAAATTACAAGTAAATGTGCAAACCTATGAAACAGTAAAAATAAAACTGATGAATTTTATACACATAAAATACTTTCAAAATAAGAAAAATTGCTTAATTTCTCATAAAATTTTCTATATAGACTTACAAATCATATATATTTTAGATTTTTCTCAGAATCATGGTGGCATTTTACTCAATTACTCTATGGGTGCTAGTTTCACAATGAAAAAACCACAGATCATGTATACCATTATTGGGAATATACAATTTACATTTGGAAATAAGTCACCATTTTAATGGAAATTAGACATTACAAAATAGAAAGCTGATGTGTTTAATAGGCACTTACCAGACAGATGATGTCATGTAGGTGATAGGGACCCAAGTATTTACACATGTTACAGTGCTCAGCAGTGAAATGTCAGTTTTCATATGGAGAAACTGAGGTCTTCCAACGCGGCAAAAGTTTAGGACCTATTAATACATGTATAGAGACATAGGAATTGCATTTGTTTTCTGAACTGACAGCCAGATGCTTTATTGATGCATCACATGAATTTTCTATGTTAAGCTCACTCTTTCTTGTTCAAATACTCTGCATGTAATCATTTATAATCATTATATCTTCTTCCTTTTAATTATTACAATTTTATCTTTTAGTGTTGATTCATAATGAAATGAAGTATAATTGTACTAATGACTGGTATTGCAGAAGTAGGAGTAATTTCAGAGTCCAGAGGGCTAACTTTTAGACCATGGAACCAGATGGAATATTTCTTAGTGCTTCCATGGCAGGTGACATACTAAATTCACCCATGACATAAATACTTAAAAATTATCTTCACAGTGAAACAATTTCTATTTTTTCTCATAAAATCTGTTATAATTATCAAATGTGTATTGTTTAATTATATTTATTTATTTATACTTATTTCATGCACGTTAGTGTTTTGCCTGCGTTTATGTCTGTGTGAGGATGTTATATCCACTGGAACTGGAATCACAGACAGCTGTGAACCGCCATGTGGGTGCTGGGAATTGAACCCAGGTCTTTTGGAAGAACAGTCAGTGCTCCCAACCACTGATAGCTTTTTTTTTCTTTTTGGTTTTTTGTTTGTTTGTTTGCTTGTTTTGAGACAGAGCTTCTCTATGTAGCTCCGGCTGTCTTGGAACTCACTCTGTGGACCAGACTGGCCTCAAACTTAGAGATCTGCCTGGCTCTACCTCCTGAGTACTGAGATGAAAGGCATTGTTATTTATAAGAGGATTTCATATTTCTTGTCTGTTGAATGAAAGTACTGACATATGTTAATAGTGTCACATAAACAATGGTATATCATCTAATCCACAGTACTGTATTAAATAAAGTATCTTGTTTGAACTTTTCATGTGTGGGACTTTAAGCTATCAGATACAAAATAAAAGTAAGTACCTAAAAAGTGTAAGTTATAACCAAAGGGAAAAAGTCAAATTAACTGACTTGAAAAATATTGTAAAGATGTTTAAAGGTTATAGCTAAATATATATCTATAAATTATATGTGTTTGCATTTTTTAGACAATGTATTTTGGTTATATTTCTTTCTTTATCCAAACTTCTCCCAGATCTCCCTTCACCATCCACCCAACTTAATATTCTTTCTCTCTCTTTATTAAAAACAAAAACAAAGTCCGCAAAATCCCCAAACAAAACCAACTAATCAATTAAACAAACAAATTGTGGAATTCATTATGTGTTGACTAGCTGTTCCTGAGTGTATGGCTTTCCCTAGAATGTGGTCGATATATGCAATATCACTCCATTGAAGAAAACTGATTTTTCTCTCTGAAAAGCTATAAATTGTAGATAGCCTTTTGGTTAGGGATAGGACTTTAAGTCCATTTTCCCCTCTACATACTGAGATTTTTTTTTCTGGTTTGAACTTGTGTCAGCCTTGTGCATACTGTCACAGTCTCTGTGAATTTATATGTGTACCAGTCCTGCCGTGTCTGGAAAATACTGATTCCTTCGAGTCATTTACCACCTCTGGCTCTTATAGTCTGTCCACATCCTCTTCTACATAGATCCCTGAATCTTGAAGAGAGGAGGGTGATACAGGTATCCCGTTAAGGATACAAACTCTAAAGTCTTTCCCTCTCTTCTTGTGGGTTTCTGGGTTAATTGCCATCAACTGCAAGAATCTTCTTGGATGAGGGTTTAATGATGCACTGATCTTTGGGTAAAGCAATATATTATTAGTAGTCATTTTATCGTTATGTTCATTTATCAGAAAAATAATTTTTTCTTGTGCTTGTGATCTATCTGGTCACAGGTTCTTGGTCTCATTTACAAAGCAGGTATGGATTCCATTTCCTGGAGTTGGCCTTAAAAATAGTAGTTGGTTACTCCATAACTTAAGTCATGTCACTCTTATACAAGTGGGCGTATCATGCAGGCAGGTTGTTAGTATATCTCACAAAGTTTAGAATTGGACAAGACTCATGATTACTTAACTTCTAGAAATGATCATTAGTCTATAGACTTGAAGTTTCCAGCTGAATAGCAGCGATATCTCTCCATACTATATGCCATAAGTGTGTGGTGTAATTTGTAATAGGGTCCTTCTGTGAAATTCTGCAGGGTAATGAATAGCATTAGCAGCAGCCTGTAGTGTTTAGGGGGTTATACAGCAACTCTTCGGCAAACAACTCAAAAAAGATGTAACTCACTAGGGGTTTTATTTCATGTGATGCATACATTGTGTAGTTGGGTCATTATATGGTAACTTCACTTAAATTTCATATAGATATTATGTATTAGAAGCATCTGCAGTAGTAGTTTGTCAAGGGCTTTTCAAAAGGCCTTCAGATAGACATCTCACTCAATATTGAACTTTAAACTATCTTTCCATTCCCCTCTCCATTTAATCTTTCTATTCTAATTTCTGTCTTTACTACTTTATAAAATTGTAAGATACCCTACCACATCCAGGTACCTTACTAGAATATACATATACATATACATATATATATATATACTATATTATATGTAATGTATATAATAAATAAATATATACATGTGCATATATGTAACAATAACAATTAAGATGAAGTCATGAATTTGTAAGGCAGGAACATCCATGGGAGGAGTTGGGGGAAGAGGGAGGAGTTACAATGTTGCAAATACACTACTCATATATGATATTCCAAAAAACTTTTAAAGAGTAAATAAGGAACCTACACACACACACACACACACACACACACACACACACACACACACACATGCATGCATGTGCGTGCACCCACCTTTCTGACTTAGAACAACAATCTCTTGAATACAACACAGCTTACCAAAATGAGCCACAAAAAGGTAGTTAAATCTTCTGTTCAGAATCCACTTTGCAGGCCATTAATTCTCTACATTGTTTCTTGTTGAAATTTTTGTGTGGGCCATTTCCTGATTAGACACTGAACTAATTCAGTGCAGGGATAATAACAACTCAATAAAAGGTGTGTGTGCTAGATGCACACAGGACATACTTAGTGTTGGAAGGCATAAATATGTATAGTGATGACAAAATTGATGAAATCTTTGTATTAGAAGAATTTGACAATACAATGGGAAAAGACAAAAATATTAAAATTCAAAGAAAATGACAAGAATGATACATGTGTCTTGTAGTGAATTGGCTTGTGATTGCATACTGCAATTCAAAAATAAGTGGTATATGAATTTATCAAATAGAATCCATAAGTTAACAGTACTGTTATGCACTAGCAAAGGATATTTAGGATATTTCATATAAAACTGAATATTTTCACAATAGCAACAAAAATTTGAAGGGACCTAGATAAAACATCAAACATCATATGTTATTGATAAAGTCATTAAATTATAATGATGAGTGTAAAACATACTCTGTTCTTCCATAGACAATGTTCATTTCTGAAAGTAAATCTAGTGTTGGAATTCTCATTCCCAATATAATTCCAATGAAAATCAAAATGGATTTCAGGGTTACATGTAAAATTCCTGGATATATTTGGTAAATGGTGAATAATTGAACACATAGTCAAGCCAGGAGATAAATTTTTATCAATATTGAAGTCTGGAAGGCTGGGGCACAGAAGGAAAGAATTTAAGTCCTAGTAAGTTTTCCAAGGTTGTTGTAGGAAGTTTAACTAAATTAATTTGTATCTTATAGTTGCTTAGAATTTTTTTAAAAACCAAGTGAAACATATGGATCGTTTTGTTGGTGTCTGTAGTTTGTGTCTATTTCTATAGCTTGTGAACAGGAAAAATGTGCAAGACTAGTTTTCTGTAACTAATTGTATAAATGATTATCTTATCGGGGATTTTCCAGAAGAAAAAATAAAATAAAAGCCAAAACATACAATAAAAACAAAACAAACAAGCAAACAAACAAAAAAGAGAAGGTTTTGAAAGGAAAAC